TTCCTTCCTTCCTTCCTTCCTTCCTTCCTTCCTTCCTTCCTTCCTTCCTTCCTTCCTTCCTTCCTCTCTGTCTCTCTCTGTCTCTGTCTCTCTCTCTTTGTCTGAAGCTACGGAGACAAAGGAAAGGGACTTTGAGCATCTGGGGAGGCAAATTGTGGGAAGGTAAATATGTAAAGAAAACTAATGGAAGATAAGGGCTGTTTCAGTGAGATTTGTTATGGAAATCCCCCTGTTGCTGCTTGGGGTTGATAAGAGCCTAGAGTTGTCTGGCTCTAGACAAATAGTCCTGCCCTTCCTGGTAGAGAGGGGGAGGGCGGGAATTTTTCTTGTGTCTGCTGCTTCCCAATTGCCTTCAGCTCAAAATAATCCTTATACCAGAGTAGGATAGTGGGGGCAGCATGCTCTGAACCCCTTCAGAGATATTCCAAGGAAAGAGACTATGGTGACAATCTTATGTGTGTAGAAAGGAATAAAGGTATCACTCTAAGGTGCAAAGAAGGTTGAACCACAGACAGGAAGCAGGAAAACTTCCTCTCAGATTTAGCTCAGAAGCCCGCCCCCAAGAGCTGCCACTCACTGTCACCACTTCTAGATTTACAGTTTGGCAGGGCTTGATTATCTTTGAAGACTGACTCACAGGGGAAGAACAGGAAACAGGCCCGGTGTGACCTCACCACGAACCTGCTGGTGAGATCTGACTTCCTGCTGGAAGAAAAGGTTGTACCTTGACAGTGGCCTTGAACCAGGGGTGTGGTGGTTTGAGTTGTCCTGCTCTCTTAGAATCCTGTAGCTGGCACTCAGACACCGAGGAGGAGGGCACCTTGATAAGAGCATCCCGCAGTCTCCTCCACGTGTCCAGGGCTCAAATGCAGGTGTCCGTAGGTCAGGTCATCACGTGCTTCTGCGACACCAGACTAGTGACCGGGGCAGCCAGAAGTGGGACCACTGCCCGCACTTGAGTGTGAGTTAGGGAAAGGCCCCCTTTCCGCTGGCTGGATGTGAGCTTGGTCCACCCGTACTGCTCACTCCCTGCCTGGGCTCCTTGCTCATGGCTCAGTTTGCATAGCTGGAAGCAGCAACCCTGGAGAGTTGGGAATGGGTGGGTTAGTGAATGTCCAGGAAAGAGAAAGAGCCATTGTGCATTTTCTGATTTTCTGTGAGGTCTATACGTTTGGTATTTTGTGTCTATTTCTTCTACATTGGGGAAAGGAGGGTTCTTTTTTTACTTGAAGTGGCCCCAGCCTGTCACCTGCAGTACAAAACCGGATATGCCAGGAGAGAAGAGCTTAGCTAGAGCTGCCTCGTTCCTTCCCGGACCCTCCATGGCCTCTCTGGGCTTCATGGTTTCCATTCTCAGAAAGCAGGGCATATGTTCCTCAATACCATCTCGATCACATTGAGAAATGGTATGGCATACACTTAAGACCGAAAATCCTTCTCCCTAAATGCGTATGTGTATGTAAAAAAAAAAAAGTAACACGTAACGCGTATTTTTGTTTGGAATCTGAAAATGATCAAGTGGGCTCATAATCAGGTTTGTGTTCAACTGAGCTACAAATATAAGATCACAGAGCAGAAGCGGTTGCATTTTTGTTTTAAGAACAGACGTGCCCCGGGGGTTGCGACTGTCTACAAATGCATGAATAGGTCACTCAGGTAACAAATATTTGTGAGCCCGCTGTGTGCCAGCTGCTGTGCTGTGGTGAACGAAACACACAGTTCTCACTCTCTTGCAGCTTAGGGCCTGGTGGGAAAATACAGAGGGTGCCCAAAAAATGTCTATACATTTTAAGAAAGGAAAAAAAAACTGTGTTAAAATTGTAATACTCAATAATATATACTGATAACAAAAGATGAATACAAGTCATGTGTATACATTTTTTTGGCACCCCAGGTATAGGCACTCAATAGAAAAACAAATACCTATGTGATTACACACCAAGAAAAAGCTGGGAAGGGTAAGAACCCATTTATTTGACTTAGGGGCACCTCGTCATGTGAACGTCTGTCGGCACCGCTGAACTCCCGTGCAGAAATGGAGAGGCAGATGGTTGGCCTGTAAGGCTTGGTCGGGAGTTTCCAGATGAGAAGGGAGGATTAAGGGAAGGGCAAGAACGGTTGGCGGTCCCTGCAAGGATGTCTTCCAGGGATGAACAGTGATGGACCATGGAATATAATGAGCCATATTTAGCTGACTTGGAAGCTGAAACCAGTTCCTCCTGCAGAGTTCAGTTATGTTTTTTAGATTCCACATGTAAGTGAGATCATGTGGTATTTGTCTTTCTCTGGCTTATTTCACGTAACGTAATACCTTCTAGATCCATTCATGTTGTTGCAAATGGCAAGATTTCATTCTTTTTTATGGCCAAATAATATTCCATTGTACACGTATGTATGTACCACATCTTCCTTATCTGTTCATCTATCGATGGGCGCTTAAGTTGCTTCCATATCTTGGCTAATGTAAATAATGCCACAATGAAAAAAAATATATTGTATATATAATTGGTGTTTTGGATTTCTTTGGATAAATACCCAGCATAAGGTAGTTCTGTTTTTAATTGAGGAACCTCTATACTGTTTTCCAGTGTTGGTGGCTGCACCAATTTCCAATCCCACCAACAGTGCACCAGGGTTCCCTTTTCTCAGCATCCTTGCTAACACTTGTTCATTTATTTATGACAGCCATTCTGACAGGTGTGAGGTGATAGCCCATTGTGGTCTTAATTTGCTTTTCGTGAATGATTAGAGATGTTGAGCACCTTTTCATGTAGCTGTTGGCCTTTGTATATCTTCTTCAGATAAATTTCTATTCATGTCCTTTGCCCATTTTTTAATCAGATTGTTTGTTATTTTGGTGTTGTATGAGATCCTTATATATTGTGGATATTAACCTCTTATCGGGTATTGTTGGTGAATATTGTCTCCCATTCAGTAGAGTGTCTTTTTGTTTTGTAGATGGTTTCCTTTGCTGTGCAAAAACTTTTTAATTTGAGGTAGTCCCCTTTGTTTATTATTTTTTTTTGCTTCCCTTGCTTGAGGAGACATATCCAAAAAAATATTGCTAAAAGTAATGGCCACAGAGTTTACTGCCTATATTTTCTCCTACGAATTTTATGGTTTCAGATCTTACATTTAAGTCTTTAATCCATTTTGAGTTTATTCTTATATATGGAGTAAGGAAGTGGTCTAGTTTCTTTTTTTTTTGCATATATCTGTCCAGTTTTCACAACATCATTTATTGAAGAGACTGTCTTTACCCCTTTGTATATTCCTGCCTCCTTTCTCATAGATTAATTGACCATATAGGCATGGGTTTATTTCTGGGCTCTCTATTCTGTTCCATTGATTTTTAAAAAAATTTTATTGGGGAACAGCCATGGTCATTGGTTACACATTGCTTTCATGCTACAATGGCATAGCTGACTCTTTTAGGGAGGACACAGCTCACAGTGGCCCATGTGGGATCGAACCAGCAACCCTGGTGTTACCAGCACCACGCTCTAACCAACTGAGCTAACCGGTCACCCCTGTTCCATTGATCAGTGTGTCTGGTTTTTTTTTTTTTAAGATTTTTTTTATTGGGGAATTGTGGGGTGGGAACAGATAAGTTGCTGTCCTTTTGTTCTTCAGTCTAGTTGTGGAGGATGTTGTTTCATTGACCCAAGTTGGCACCATCATTGTGCTCTTCCCAGGTGAGGCAGATCAGTCGCCGGCTTCTGGATGGCCGCTCACTGCGGCTGCTGGCCACTCACGCTGGCTGCTGGCCACACACGGTAGCCCATGGCAACCCTGCTGCAGCAGGGATTGCAGCCTACGCCGTCGCCAGCGACTCACGGCAGCCCAGCTCCAGGTTGAGCTGTTGTTCAGCATCTTAGCTGTAGAGGGCAGTGTCACTGGCCCTCATATGTGGGATCCGAACCGGGGCCCTCTGGTGTCCCAAGCCAGCTCCTAACCACCGCGCCACTCGGCCTGCCCTCAGTGTGTCTGTTTTTATGCCAGTACCGTGCAGTTTTTATTGCTACAGCTTTAGGTAGCAAGATATTTCCAACTTTACTCTTCTTTCTCAAGATTGCTGTGGCTATTTGGGGTCTTAAGTGATTCCATATAAATTTTAGGATTACTTGTTCTAGTTCTGTGAAAAATGCCATTGGCATTTTGATAGGGATGGCATTGACTCTGTAGATTGCTTTGGGTAGTATGGACGTTTTAATGATGTTAATTCTTCCTATCCACAGCCTTCCATTTATTTGTAGCTTCTCTAATTTCTTTCTTCAATGTCTTATAGTTTTCTGAGTATAGGTCTTTTACCTCCTTGGGTAAATTTATTCTTAGGTATTTTATTCTTTTTGATGCAATTGTAAATGAAATTTTCTTGATTTTTCTTTTTGATTGTTATTAGTGTATAAAAATGCCACTGATTTCTGAATATCAATTTTGTATCCTGCTACTATACTGAATTCATTAATTAGTTC